GTTGGGTGTGGCCTGTTATGCTAATGAGTTCCTGCTGGGCGTGGCCAACTCGGGAGCCAGCCGGAACTCCGTTCCTGTGCGTTCCTGCCCAAAAATAGCCCTGAATATACCTTTTCTGGAAGCTTCATTAGGCCTCATGAATTATTGTGTAAATATGGAAGTTTTCATGTTCATATTACTAGAAAGAGTGAGTCTGACAATAGAAGGCTAAATTGCATATCTAATTTCTCTTGTTCCTTGGAACCAGCCCAGCAGCAAGAGTCTGTGTTGTTCATTAATGGCTTTTTTAGGGTTGCCAGGTCAGGGTTGGGAACATGCCTCCCTCTAAGCTGTGGAGTCTTGTGAGGAATAATTCTACTTTGTGAGCGGCTGGCATTAAAGTTGTGAGTGAGCGATCTGGCTGCTGCATCAATTAGTGTGCCCTGGAGCTGTCCCTTCCTGAGCTAAGACAAAAATGTGTGAGCCGGAGGCTAAAAAGCTATAAGCTAGCTCACACTAACTCAGCTTAGAGGGAACGCTGGTTGGGAAATTCCTGGAGATTTGAGGGGTGGAGCCGGAGGAGGGTGGAGTTTGGGGACGGGAGGGACCTCAATGGGCTATAATGCCATACAGCCAGGGCTTTTTTTGTAGAAAAAGCCCAGCAGGAACTCATTAGCATAATAGGCCACACCCTGACACCATAACTCATTAGCATATTAGGTCACAGCCCCCTGTTGCCAGAAGTGTGGTCATCCAGCCATACCCACCTTTTGCTTCTTATTCTGTTGACCTTGTTTGTTGTCAAAACCCAGGGCCTTTTTTGTAGCAGGGACTCCTTTGCATGTTAGGCCACACACACGCCTACTGTAGCCAATCCTAATGAGTTCCTGCTGTTGGGTGTGGCCTATTATGCTAATGAGTTCCTGCTGGGCGTGGCCAACTCAGGAGCCAGCCGGAACTCTGTTCCTGTGCGTTCCTGCCCAAAAATAGTCCTGCATACAGCCCACTCTCTGAAGCAGCCGTTTTCTCCAGGGGAATTGATCTCTGTCATCTGGAGATCAGTTGTAATTCCAGGGGATCTCTAGGCCCCACCTGGAGGGTGGCAGCCCTAGTAAGCTCCAATGTGTGGAGGCAGGCCATCCACTGTAGAAATATTTTTTGGGGGGGCTACTGAGAGCCAGCATAGGTTTCAGACATGTCTCATGCTAGCCAGATCCAACCCAAACTAAGACCCCCCAGGATATTGTTCCCCTCTTCTCCCTCTCTCAGTGGTCCTGTATGGATACATCAATAAAAGCCTGCCTTCCTGTCCGATTTGGCAGTATTCCGAACTTCTGAGGCTTCCTGCGAGTGCTGAGCCAGTTTTGTGCAGTGGTTAAGTGCGTGGACTCTGATCTGGGAGAACCGGGTTTGATTCCCCACGCCTCCACTCGCAGCTGCTGGATGACCTTGGGCAAGCCATAGTTCTGAGAAGAGCTGTTCTTGAAAAAGTGCGGTTTCTGTCGGAGCTCTCTCAGCCCCACCCACCTCACAGGTTGTCTGTTGTGGGGAGGGGAAGGGAAAGGAGTTTGTAAGCCGCTCTGAGACTCCTTTGGTTGGGTAGTGAAGGGCGGGGTATAAATCCAATCTCTTCTTCTTCTTCTGAATTAAGGGGGTGGGAATAAAGACTGGTGTATTGTAACTGCACCGCATCCCTAGAGTTGGATTCGACTGGCTTTTGAGCACGGGAAACCTTTACCTTTACCTATTGTAACTGCTATTCTCAGGGCTATTTTTGGGCAGGAACGCACAGGAACGGAGTTCCGGCTGGCTCCCAAGTTGGCCACGCCCAGCAGGAACTCATTAGCATATTAGGCCACACCCAACAGCAGAAACTCATTAGGATTGGCTACATTAGGGGTGTGCGGCCTAACATGCAAAGGAGTTCCTGCTACAAGAAAAGCCCTGGGTTTTGACAACAAACAAGGTAAACAGAATAAGAAGTAAAAGGTGGGTGTGGCTGGATGACCACACTTCTGGTAACATGGGGGTGCAGCCTAATATGCTAATGATCTGTGTTGTCAGGGGTGTGGCCTATTATGCTAATGAGTTCCTGCTGGGCTTTTTCTAGAAAAAGAGCCCTGGCTATTCTAACCCCATGGTCACACCAGGAGAACAAAGCCAAGATGAACATGCTTACTTTCTCTTCGGCCTGGATCAAATATTGCTGGGTTTTCTAAGTCAGCAACATATCCTACAAGGCCATAAAAAGGCTGTATAAACCGAGCTAGAATACTATTAAGTTCTCATAACATATTATACGACCCTCTTGTCTTAGGGTTGCCAATTTCCATTTGGGAACTTCCTGGAGATTTTGGGGGAGGAGTCTGGGGAGGGCAGTGGTAGGGGAGGGGAAGGACCTCCGTTTGTCATCGAACGCGCCCTTCAGAGCAGCCATTTTCTCCAAGCAAACTGATCTCTGTGCTCTGGAGATCGGTTGAATTTCCAGATCTCCAGGCCCCACCTGGAGGTTGGCAACCCTGTGTCTGCCTTAGCCTTTGTAACTGTGTGACTGCTCCTGGACCTGCAGTTTGTAAGAACTGAATAATGAATGATCAAATGTAAGCGACTTCTGTTTTGCCTGCCAAATGCATGCTAGCTAGTGGATGGTGCCAGGGCTTCAAGCATCTTCTAATTACCAGCGCTTTGTATGGTAATTAGAGATATTGAAGGGACTTGTTGCCATGGAGTTTAATGGCCCTGACCCTGTTTGACTGCCAGAAGTCGTACTTTTTGGTCTCAAAACACCGTCCATTAAAATAATGGCATTTTTAAAAACTATCTGTATGTGATCTCTATATATCTCTGTGTCTGTCTATTTAATGCTAAAAACCTGCCTGGCTTGATGTATTACTCTTTTGATGTGCTGCTGTTTTGGCTTCCGCTCGGCATGCAATTTCATTATCCATGGGAAGAAACAATAGAGAGGATACCCTTCTTGCTCTTGTCAGCCTATTTATGCGAGTATAATGTGACTCTTCTCTTCACTTCTCTTACAGGGCCACAAACAGGGTTGCCAGCTACAAGCTGGGAAATTCCTGGAGGTTTTGTGGGTGGAGCTTGGGAGGGCAGGATTTGGGGTGTAATGCCACCCTCCAAAGCAGCCATTTTCTCCTTTTCCTCTCTGTCATCTGGAGATCAGTTTGTTTGTTTGTTTATTACATTTGTTAATTGCCCAATCTCTGCAATGCAGGGCTCTGGGCAATGTACATCATTCATAAAAACATCGAGATGAAACAATTAAAAAATGAGTTGTCGTAGATTTTCTGGGCTGTACGGCCAGACAGCCCGGAAAATCTGCAACGACTAATGAACTCCGGCCATGAAAGCCTTCAACGACAAATTAAAAAATTAATAACATATTTCAAACAAGAAGATGGCGTATATTAACTGGTCCCATTTGTGGCCGCTTTGCGGGCATGGGAGAGGAGGGCAAGGCGGATATGAAGAGCAGCGGGAGCAGAAAGTTGCAGTTCTGGGAGATCTGCAGGTCTCTCCTGGAGGTTGGCAACCTTAAGAGAAGCTGACAGAATACGTGTGGATTGTATGATGTGTACTGAGAGCCTTAAAGGTAAAGGTAAAGGTTCCCTTGCTCGAAAGCCAGTCGAATCCTACTCTAGGGTTGCGGTGCTCATCTCCGTTTCAAAGCCGAAGAGCCAGCGCTGTCCGAAGACGTTTCCGTGGTCATGTGGCCGGCATGACTAGACACCAAGGCGCACGGAACGCTGTTACCTTCCCACCGAAGTGGTACCTATTTATCTACTTGCAATTTCTTGCTTTCGAACTGCTAGGTTGGCAGGAGCTGGAACTAGAGATGGGAGCTCACTCCGTCATGCGGCACCCGGGTCTCGAACTGCTGAACTACTGACCTTCCACAGCCTGCAGTTTAGCGTCTTAACCACTTGAGCCACCGCAGCTCCACTGAGAGCCTTAGTTATTGTCAAATGCCTTGAGATAGCACCACCTACCTAGCTACGTCTCTTAATTTCCGCACCAGATTACTATATTTAACGCGGACAGATAGTTGTGCTCTCCAGATTTTTACCATTAGATATCCCCGAGAACTTTGCCAAATCCAAAAGGTTCTGAAAAACAGAGAATTCCTTTCCCTCTAACTGGTCCCTAGGATCCTTATATAAGGACTAATGATAGCAATGCTCCTATAGAAGCCCATCCGAGCCAGAACTAAATGGAAAATCTAGATCTAGATTCTACGTCACCCACTAATGAGCTCCTATTTGATTCTCTGTCCAGGGAGGCTAACTGATTTTCTTTCGCTCAGTACGTTCCCAGATTTCCACCATCACAGTGGCCACCTTCAACACCACGCTGGCCTCCTTCAACGTGGGCTACGCCGACTTCTTCAGCGAACACATGCGCAAGCTCTGCCACCAGGTGCCCATCCCAGAGATGCCCCATGAACCCCTGGCTTGTGCTAACCTCCCTCGGAGTCTAACGGATTCCTGCATCAACTATAGCTGCCTTGAGGACACGGACCACATTGACGGGACCAGCAACTTTGTCCACAAGAACGGCATGTTGGATCTCTCGGTAAAGAGCAGTGAGAAGAAGTCACGGCCCCCTTCCCCTTTTAGTGGGGGACGTGCAGAATAGAAATGCCACTGATTATATCCCAATCTTTCTCTTTCAGTACCATGTAGGATGCATTTGAGTTGTCCATAATGATCCTATTGTTCTCTTTGTGAAAACAGTTCATTATGGCATTTTCAGAAGATAGATAGATGATAGATAGATAGATAGATAGATAGATAGATAGATAGATAGATAGATAGATAGAACACTGTAACGCTCTCTACATGGGGCTGCCTTTGTCGCAAATCCGGAGGCTGCAACTGGTGCAGAATGCTGCGGCCAGGCTGTTAATGGGTCTCTCTAGAAGGGACCACATTCAGCCTGTGCTGAAAGCGCTGCACTGGTTGCCAATAGCGTACCGGATTCGCTTCAAAGTGCTGGTTCTTACCTATAAAGCCCTATATGGTCTGGGTCCAGCCTACCTGAGGGACCGCCTTTCCCCGTATGTTCCCCCAAGAGCGCTACGGTCGGGGGCCCAAAACCTTCTAACCATACCGGGCCCCAAGGAGGCTAAGTTGGTCGTCACGAGGGCTAGGGCTTTCTCGGTGGCGGCCCCTGCCTGGTGGAATGAGCTCCCGGAGGGGATCCGGGCCCTGCGGGATCTGGGGCAATTCCGCAGGGCCTGTAAGACGGAGCTCTTCCACCAGGCTTTTGA